AAACTGTCACCATTTTCGACGGCCGCTGGTGGGTCCAGCGGAGTGAAGCACCGCGCAGATCTGAACGAGACCTCGCCGTCCCTGGGGTCTGCGATCTGCGAGACAGTCGCCACTTTCAAGGGCTGCCGGCGGGTCCAGCGGAACGAGGCACCGCGCAGATCTGAGCGGACCCTCGCCGTCCTTGGGGGGCTGCGATCTGCGAGACCGTCGTTACTTTCGTGAGCTGGTGGCGGGTCCAGCGGAGTGGGGCACCACGCGGATCTGATCGGGACCACGCAATCCCTGGGGGGCTGCGAGCCTCACGAATACCGCTCGCAAAAATATTTACGCCCATGTCACGTCATCACCTCCGTATAACGTCTCCGAAGCTACTCATGCCCCGCATTGCGCAGGGGTTGGTAACGTCGCCAGGGTAATGTGTGTGTGTGTTTTTGTATGGGGATTTGCAAACATGATATGGTTCAGGAATCCCCACGAAAAAAAAAACAATCGAACAACACCCGGATTGGACTCTGCCCCAACCCTCCCGCGTTCGATTCTCGCTTTGAATACAGCGCTGCGGTCTCCAACCTTCTTCTACTCCCTTATTCAACTCCTTTGCAACACCTCCGTTTTCCTCTTCTCTCCTCCCCTGTGCGCCCGGTGGCTTACCTGTGGGGCCTGCGAGGTGTGAGTTTGACATGTCTTGGGCGCTGCGATATGCGAAATTGTCGCCACTATCGAAAGCTGTTGGGCGGGCAGCATAGCGTGTGCCCGCCGCGGATTCAAACCAAACCGCGCCATCCGTTGGGGAGGGTTGCGAAGGTGTCGCCACTTTCGAAGGCTGCTGGGGGGAACGGCCTAGTGGGCACCCGCCGCGGATTCATATTTAACCTCTGCATCCCTGGGGGGGGGCTGCGATTTGCGAAGAAGTGTCGCCACTTTCGAGTGCTGTTGGGAGACCAACATAAGGGGGTGCCCGCCGCGGATTCAGACTAGACCTCGCCAGCCCTGGGGGGAAATGATATGCGAAACTACCGCTAGTTTCGAGGGCTGCTGGGGGGACTAGCATAGTGGGCGCCCGCCGCGGACCCAAATTAGACCTCGCCATCCCTGCGGGGGCTGCGATCTGCGAAAGCGTCGCCACTTTCGAGGGTCGCTGGGGGGCCAGCATAGTGGGTGCCCGCCGCGGATTCAAACTGGACCTCGCCATCCCTGGGGGGCGGCGATCCGCGAAGCCCTTGCCACTTTCGAGGGCTGCTGGGGGGGCCAGCACAGTGGGGTTCAGCGAAATCAAGCACCACCCAGATTCAGATTAGATCTCGCCATCCCTGGGAAGCCACGATCTGCGAAACTGTCGCCATTGTCGAAGGCTGCCGGAGGGTTCAGCGGGGCGAGGCACCACGCAGACGCAGATTCAACCTCGCCATCCCCGGGTGGCTGCTATCTGCGAAGCTGTCACCAATTTCGAAGGCTGCAGGGGGACCCAGCGGGGCGCCGTCGCGGTCCGCCCGCAAACCTGGCGCCGCGCCTTCGAGCGTTTAGCTCACGCGCTGAAGAGTGCGGAAAGGAAACAGAGAAGCTGGCGGGCGAGCTAGGCTTCGCTCGTTTCTTGCACTAAGTATAGGCAGCTTTCATCCTTTTGTCCGAACGCCGCAGAGACATGGCACAGGCAGTTCTGCATCTCTAGCGCGCTACCGACAAAAGCAATGCTCCTCGGCCTCCTCCCGTCACTTTCGTCGTCGTCCTCTGCCCCCTGCCACCTTCCCTCTGCTGTTGCCGCGCTGACGGGTCGCCCCCCGCGCGTCCTTTTCCTGCCCTTCTTTCCCGCACCCATGTCCTCCTCGAGCCTGGGCGTTCGCTCCTCGCCCTTCTGTTGTTGTCCCGTGAATCGTGCCACGCGGCCGCATCCCATGTAGCTTGCGCGACATATGACGGCGTCTGCACTGTCATTGTCCTGGCACGTCTGGGCCAACTCCTGTTGCCACTTGATGCGGATTGGTTGGGTACGTCACTAGGAAATTGTTTTCCCCGCTGGAGCCTGGGCTGGCCCGAGAGCCTCCGAAACGCCAACGAACTCCCGAGCTAGGTTGTGTTATGTGTTTGTTTCTGGTTTTTGTCGGGGGATGCTCATAAGTAATATCGTTCCAATGTTTGGGGCCCCGGACCCCTCCGAAACAGAAAAACTAGAATTGGGCGATTGCTCTTGAGTTTCCATCCCTGGAGCCTGGGCTGGCTGGAGAACCCTCGACAGAAATATGCTCGGTTTTTTGTTTGTTGGGGGTTTTCAGAAATAGCATTGCCTTGAAATGCTCGGGCCCCAAACCTCCGAACAACCTCAGAAATAAGATAAATTAAAAAACGAGCCGGGATTTGTCTCCCTGGCATTGTACTCAGAGAATCCTGGAGCTCCGGCTGGCAGGAGAACCATGGAAAAACAAAGGAAAACCAATGAATTTGATGGTATTTTCTAGAATTCTTCACGGGGATTCCCACGCATAAATTTATTCTGCGCGGTGGGCCCCGGAACCACCAAACAAATCCAAAGCGAAAAAACAAGTTGCAAGCTTTGCGCGTTTTTTCGCTTGGCTTTCATACAACTGGTTATTGTCAATTGCTGGGGCCCAGACCCCCAGAAACCGCAATCAAAACCTTCAAGTTGAGAGGTTGTTTGGGGCTTCTTCCCAGAGAATCCTATTGCCCGGGCTGGCCAGAGAACTCGGGAAAAACATTGAAAAACCAGTGTTGGAAGGTTTGTCTGGTGTTTTTTTTTTTTTTTTTTTTTTTTTTTTTTTTTTTATAATGAAACGATTGTCATAAATAGCATTGGTTTCAAGTGCGGGCCCCTGGAGCACCCGAAAAAACGCAAGGTAATCTCCGCGGTTGGGGGGGGGGGGCGGTGTTGTTTTCGGGTGGCTTTCAAGCGTAATCTTGCTTTGAATTCTGAGCCGCGGAACCGCCGAACAAAAAACACAACAACAAAAACAGTCGAGTGGGGGGGTCGGGCACTCCCGCCAAAGAATCCCAGAGTTTAGGCTGGCCGGAGAAACCCTGGAAAACCGCGACAGACGCCGAGTTGGAAGATAGTTCGGGCGTTCCTCGGGAGGATTTCAAACCGAATATTGCTTTCAAGTGCGGGCTCCAGAATCCCTTATAAAAAACAAGAGGAGAAACTTCCGAAGTCGGTCTTTTCTTTGGTGTTTGCAAAACTGATGTTGCTCTTAAGTGCGGGGGCCCGGAGCCAGCGAAAACCCTCGAAACGCGCCCGAGTTGGGAAATTGTTCCCTGGTTCTCCATCCGCAGAATCCTGGGGCCTGGGCGGGCCGGAGAACCCGAGAACCCCCGAAGAACCACGGGACAACCTCGGAGTTTAGATTTTGCGCGTTTTTTCTTCGGAGGGGGTCAACAAATAGCGCTGTCATTAATTATGGGCCCTAAGATCACCCGGAAATGGATGGTGTGTTAGTTTGATTGTTAGTTTTTTCCCCAAGTTTCCTGCGTCGGGTTCTCGTTTTGAATCGAGCGCTGTGGTCGCGTCATCCCGCCCTCCCTCCTCCTCTCTTTAATTGCCTCGCTCCTCCTCTCCTCTCTCCTCCTCTTCCCTCTTGCTTCCTCTGTCTCCCCCCGCGCAGATTTAGATTAGACCTCGTCATTCCTAGGGGCTGCGATCTGCGAATATGTCCCCACTTTCGAGGGCTGCTGGGAGGTCCAGCGGAGTGCTGCCCCACGCAGACTCAAATAAAACCTCGCCGCCCCTGGGGGGCTGCGATCTGCGAGACTGTCGCCACTTTCGAAGACTGCTGCGGGGTCCAGCGGAGCGACGTGCTACGCTGAGCCACATTGGACCTCGCCATCCCTTGGGGGCTGCGATCTGCGAAGCTGTCGCCACTTCCGATGGCTGCACGGGGGTCCAGCAGAGCGGTGTCCCCACGCAGATTCAAATTCGACCTCGCCGTCCCTGGGGGGCTGCGATCTGCGAGACCGACGCCACTTTCGCAGGCTGCTGGGGGGTCCAGCGGAGTGTTGCCCCAAGCGGGCTCAAATTAAACCTCGCCATCCTTAGGGGGCTGCGATATGCGAGACTGTCGCCGCCGTCGAAGGCTTCTGGGGGGCCCAGGAAGTGACGTCCTACGCGAGCCCAAGCTAGACCTCGCCATCCTTTGGGGGGTTCTGGTCTGCGAGCCTCCTCCTCCTCCTCCTCCTCCTCCTCCTCCTCCTTCCCCTCCTCCTCCTCCTCCTCCTCCTCCTCCTCCTCCTCCTCCTCCTCCTCCTCCTCCTCCTCCTCCCTGGCACGTTCCGTGGCGCGTCCCATGGCGAGTCCCCTTGACACGTCGCGCGGCGCGTCCCCTGGCACGTCCCGTGGCACGTCCATTGGCACGTTCCGTAGCGCGTCCCCTTGGCACGTCCCGCGGAGTGTCCCTATGGCACGTCCCCTGGCACGACCCCTGGCGCGTCCCTTGGGACGTTCCCCGGCGCGTCCCCCCTTGCGTGTCCCCCTGTCAATAAGCTCTGGGGCAGCTACTATGTGCTCAGGCAGCTCAGGCATAAGATCCAGATCAGTTCGGCTCAGGCTTTGGATGCAAAGGGCGAATCGATCCACAACGCTATAGAGCACAATCACGGCATGACACATCGCAATTCAGCACGGCGCAGCACAGCACAGCCCTTAGCACGGTACGTCAAGATCGATACACTCAAAATTGGACTTGCACGTCGCCCAATCAGGTGTCTTGGAAACGCTGCCATGCCTTACGTTTATGGATTCCTTTCCGGGTTCGTGGGAGGATAATGTTCTGCGCCGCTCACCTGGTAGCTGGTAGATCGGCGATAGGGACACGTTAGCGAATCCGCACGTTCCTGGGAGGGGTGGGCTGGCGGGCCCCTATCGGCGATGAGGGGGCGATTGGGGGTAGATGCGCTCCCCCCCCCTGGAAAATACGTGCTCCGTGACATTGCCCCGGCTCGACCGCGCCCACCGCTGCACGCAGAGCCCGCCCCATTGCGCGCTCGCGCGCGCGGGCCTGCGCCGGCGCCGCCGGTGCGCACCGCGGTCACGAAGTAGTCCGCGTACATGCCGCCAGTGATCCACTTCTTGGTGCCGTTCACGATGTAGTTCTCTCCTCGCGGCGAGGGGGTGTGGGGGGGGGGGAAGGCCCCGACCTCTGGCGGACTGCCTGCTTCCAGCCCGGCGGCTCTTCCGACTCTCGGTCTGCGGTGGGCCCGCTGTCGGGCCCCGCAGGCCACTAGTTAAGTGGGTCTGGGACGACACGAACTGCCCGTGGGGCCAGAGCGTCGGGCGTCAGGGTCTGGAGGGGCGCGGTGGGGTGGGGTGGGGGGATGGGAGACGGGGGCAGAGGAGGAGGGAGTATCCCACGACCACAACTCGGCGAGTGACTTGCGACGGCGTTGCGTGCCCGGACGACCGAGCCTTACAACTCCGAGCCAGGACAACGTGGCTGGAGGAGGAGGGAAAGGAGGGAGAGGCGAGAGAGGAGGAAGAGGAGGGAGAGGCGGGAGGGGAGAGGAGGGACAGGTCTGTATGTGTGCTGCGTCATGGGCCATGGGCGGCCCGGAAGCCCGACACCTACAGAGAGCGAAACAACTCGACCTCAGTGGTACTGCCAGAAGACTAGGTTCCGCTGCATTCTAGCTGCGACGGTCTGGCGCCTCCTCGAGCCAATCGGCCCCCCTTCGAAACATGATCGACCCACGAACCCTGAAGAGAGAGCGCGCAATGCACTTCAGAGGTGCGTCGGCAGTAGTATACAGACAGAAAGAAAGACTCACACTGCACCCTGCGCACAAAAGTTGCGAGCTGCACGTCGCCACGCCTGGGCGCTCCGTTGCCATAGCTGATAATCTGTCCTCATGGCCAGCCGCTTCGCACGCCATTGCAAATTCATTCCGCTTCCACGTGCTCTTTTGCGGGCCGCGTTTCTGGCGACCTCCCAAACATGATAAAGAGTATGTCCCGGGTGCGCAACATGGCAACGTTTGTTGCAAGGGGCGCGCCGCGGAACGGGCAAAGGAAACCCATGGGGACAAGCCAGGAACCGCGAAAGAGGACGAGCCAGGGAACGTGCCACGCCGAGTGGCGTGCTAGGGAACGTGCCAGGGCACGTCACGCAAGAACGTCGCAAGGACGCGCCAGGGGACGCGCCAGCGCGCCAGGGGACGCCCCAAGGACGGGCGGGGTTGGACTGCGATGCACTCTACTGCGACAAGCGGTTCGCTCGAGACATCCTCAACAAATCCTCATGTTAGACATCCGCCTGGGCGACCTCGACACGTGAAAACAAGCGTCTCGTTTGAGACATCCTCAACACATCCTCATGTTAGACATCCGCCTGGGCGACCTGGACACGTGAAACCACGCGTCTCGCGCGAGAAATTCTCAACACCTCCTCATGCTAGAGATCCGCCAGGGCGACCTGGACACGTGAAAACAAGCGGGTCGCTCGAGACATCCTCAACACATCATCATGCTAGATATCAGCTGGGCGACCTGGGCACGTGAAAACAATGCGTGATGCTAGAGACGATCTCATCAACTCTTCATGTTAGACACCCGCCTGGGCGACCTCGACACGTGAAAACATGCGTCTCGCTCGAGATATCCTCAACACATCCCTATGTTAGACATCCGCCTGGGCGACCTGGGCAAATGACAACAAGCGTTTCGCTCAACACAACCTCAACACATCCTCATGCTAGACATCCGCCTCGCCTGGGCGACCTGCACACATGAAAACAAGCGTCTCGATCGAGACTAACTCAACATATCCTCATGTTAGACATCCGCCTGGGCGACCTGTACGCGTGCAAACAAGCATTGCGCTCGACGCATCCTCAACACACGCTCATGCTTAGACATCCGCCTGGGCAACCTGGACAAGTGACAACAAGCGTTTCGCTCGAGATATCCTCAACAGATCCTAATGTTGGATATCCGCCTGGGCGACCTGGACATGTGGAAACAAGCGCGTCGCTCAACACATCCTCAACACATCCTCATCTGGGCACATGAAAACAAGCGTTTCGCTCGAATCGTTCTCGTCAACTCCTCATGTTAGGCATCCGCCTGGGCGACCTAGACACGTGAAAGCAAACGTCTCGCTCGAGGCATCCTCAACACATCTTAATATTAGACATCCGCCTGGCCGACCTGGGCAACTGAAAACAAGCTTTTCGCTCAACACAACCTCGAATCATCATCATCGTAGACATCCGCCCGGGCGACCTGCACACATGAAAACAAGCGTCTCGATCGAGACTAACTCAACATATCCTCATGTTAGACATCCGCCTGGGCAACCTGGGCGAGTGAAAACAAGCGTCTCGCTCGAGACATCCTCAACAATCCTCATGCTAGACATCTGCATGAGCAACCGGGACGCGTGAAGCCAAGCGTCTCGCTCGAGACATCCTCAAGACCTGGGCACGTGAAAACAAGCATTTGGCCTGAGACATCCTCTGAATTCTGGCCCCCAGGAGAGGAACACTATACGAAACAAAACATACGTTTCGCTCGAGACATCCTCAACACATTCTCAAAAACAAGCGCTTCGCTCGATACATCCGCAACAAACGAAGATGTATACTTTACCATCTATCGGAATTTCAAAGACCAGCGTTTCGCTCGGGACATCCAAAACATCTTCATTCGCTCGCCCTGCGCGACGTCGTTCTTTATTGCAGAACACGTTCGCCGATCCTGCGCAAATCGAGGCTGGGGGGAAACAACTAAAAGAGAACCCTGGGCACGAGCCCTGTCCGGGAAACATCGAACTTTACCTTGAGATTTATTGCAAACAATACCGCTGGCCCTCTTCAGGTTGAAATCAGGGGTAAACAATACTAAGGGAGAACACAGGCCTCTGCCCGTTCTGGGAAGCATGATCGACCAACGAACCCTGAAAAGAACATCTAAATGTGAAGCATGGTAACGTTTTCAAGAGACCTGATTGGGGGACGTGCAATTGCAACGCTGAATGTCTCGATCTTGACGTACCGTGCCAAGGGCTGTGCTGTGCTGGGCTGTGCTGTTCCGTGATGAACTGCGATGTGCCAAGTTGCGATTGCGCTGCATAGCGTTGTGGACCAAACCCTCCTTTGCAATCGAGTCCTGACCGAGCTGATATGGATCTTAAGCTCGAGCTGCTTGAGCACATCGTAGCTGGCCCAGAGCTAGTTGAGGTGAAACGTGGAGGACATTCAATCAACTCGAGCTCAAAATCCGACTCAGCTCCAAAAAGGAAAGACACTATGGGGCACAGGCTCACGGACGCGCCACAGGATGTGCCAGGGGCGCAATCGGGGATGCGCCAAGGGATATGTCAGGGGACGCATCAAGGGACGTGCTTTGGACGTGTCAGGGACCTGCCACGGGATGTGCCAAAGCGCGTGCCATGGGGCGGTCAGAGGACGTCATGCCAAAGACCGTTGCACGAGGCCCGCCACCGAGCGGGCAGTGGAAACGCCCGAGGACGAGCAAGGAAACGCGACAGAGGACGAGCCAGGAAACGTGCCACGCCGACTGGCGTGTTAGGGGACGTGACAGGGCATGTCACGCCTGAACGTCGCAATTAACGCGCCAGGGGGCGCGGCAAGGCGCCAGGGGACGCCCTACGGACTGGCGGGGTTCGACTGCGACGCGCTCTACCGCGACAAACGTTTCGCTCGAGGCATCCTCAACCAATCCCCATGTTAGACACCCGCTTGGGCGACCTGGACACGTGAAACCAAACGTTTCGCCGAGAACTTCTCAACACCTCCTAATGCTAGACATCTGCCTGCGCGACCTGGACACGTGAAAGCAAGCGCTTCGCTCAAGATATCCTCAACACATCCTCATGCTTGACATCTGCCTGAGCGACATGGACACGCGAAAACGAGCGGTTCGCTCCAGACATGCAAAGAGCATTAGTATGTCAAGCATCCGCCTGGGCGCCTTGGGCACATGAAAACCAGCGTCTCGCTCAACACATCCTCAACACTTTTCCATCGGCGGCGAAGCAGAGGTATCCTGCAAAACCGGTCACGAAATCCGGGGCGGCCGAAGAGCGAATTGCCCAGCATGCAAGAGGAGGGACTGAGACAGACAGACTGGCCGCGGAGGCGGGGATGGAGGAGACGGGGCGCTCAGAAGCGGAAGACGTCCATCGCGAGCGCGCTGGCGCGGCCAGCGCTGGCAGCGGGAGCTGCGGCAGTGGCCGAACCGCGGCGTCGGTGCATCCACGGGCGCTGCCGATGCCCAGCCCGCGGAAAGCAAGGGCACACGCAACTGAGCCGTCCGGGTGTGGGCCGACATGGTACTGCAAGTGAGGAATCGCACAACGGAACCGTCCATGTGTGGACCGATTAAGTACTGCAAGCGGCGAGAAGACCAATCGAGGTTCCAGACTGGCAGAAGCAAAATGCTGTGCCCGTTGGGTGCAAGGCTAGGGCTGCGGCGAGGCGCGGGGTCCAGGAACGCCACCACCAGGGGGAGCTGCCAGCCAAGGCTGCAGCGACGGCGCCATGGCGGCGCGCGGAAAGAGGGAGGGAAAGGCGCGGGGGAGGGGACGGAAAAGCAAGATGGAAGAACGCCCCGCTTGCGGGGAAACCCGAGCAGGCGGGGCGACGGAGTCTGTGGCCAGAGCCGATGGAGACCGCTCGCCGTCTGCGGAGGGCAGCGCCTGGTCGCCGGTGACAAAACTGTGGCCGAAGGCTTTGGGAGGCCACGCGCTGTCTGGGAGGACGGCGCATGGCGGGCGCCTAATGTCGGCGCAGTTCCCTGTGTCAAAACTGTGGCCCAAAGCCGTTGGAGACCGCGCTTTCTGGGTGGACAGCTCATCGCCAGTCTAAGGGCACCTAATCGGCGCAGTTCCATGCGCCTGATAGCGCAGAGGGCCACGCATCGTTTAAGGAAGACGGCGCATGGTGGAGGAAGCATCGGAAGAAGGTGGCGCCGCGCCGGCTGGGGTCGCAGGTGCCACCGCCACGCGGAACGCAGAACCTATGCCAGGCCGCCCCCAATTCACCACCGATCTGCTGCTACATCCTCCTGGCCCAGGGCACCATGGCCCCCTTCGAGCCTTCGGAAGGCGAGCAGGACGCGCGTTCCACTTGTTGAGACATT